CTCCCCTCCCGGACCCCACTGTCCCCAGGGCACGGAGTTCAAGTGCATCTGGGCCTGGCAGGGTCAGCGCAGGGGCCCTTTCCAGCTCCTTCCTCTGGGTTCCTCCCTCGGCCTGGACCCCCTTCCCCCACCCTCACCCTGTTTTCTCAGAGAGTTGAGGGCTCAGTCCCCAGCCCCTTGGTCCTCCTGTCCTGTCCTGTCCGATGTGGGACAGGTCCACAGACCCATCAACCTCAGCACAGACCCTGCCGGACACGTGGCCTGCACACCCAGCGCCAGCGCCACCGCCCCCCATGCCTCATAGCTTCTAAAACCTGCATTTAAAGTTGAGTTTCCTCCCCAGCTCCCAGCCCCCAGGTCCCTCAACTCAGGAAACATCTCCTCCATCAGCCCAGAGGCTAACCGCGCTCTGAGGTCTCGTCTGTGACCCCCCGACCTCCACCGCAGGTGGGCCTAGGCCACCACCCCACCCCCACCGGCTCCCACCAGCAGCCAAAGGGGGCCTCTCCCCAGCCCGCACCCTTCCTGGTCCCTCCTGAAGCCCCCGTGGCCCTGCACCCTGCCCCAAGCCTGACCAGCCCACCCCGCACTCCGGCCACCCGAGCCCTCAGCCGGACACTCTCCCAGGCTTGTGGAGCTGCCTGGGTGTCCCCTAAGTGTCCCCCGGGGCAGCCAGGCCATCGCCTCTGAAAGGCACGTCTTGCTCCCTGCCATGCCCCACGCTGGCAACAGTGCACACAGCAGGTGCTCAATAAGTAGCCCCACCCCCATGATACCTTCCGTGTTCTTTCCCCGCCTGTGTCCCCTCTGTGCCTGGGCCGGTCTTGGGCACCGGGGCCGCTGCCTGGGCCGTGCTGGGTACACTTCTTGCCGCGGGTGCTGAGGGCCCTTCTCCCGCAGGCTGAGTCACCCGTCCCGCAGCGAGTCCCAGCGCCATTTGTCACCTCGCATCCTCCCCTGTGGCTCTGCCCGGGGCTGGGAAAAGCTCGTTCCTGAGTGTTTCCCTAGCACTGTCGCACAGCCCGGATGCCGACCCGGAGCCCAGCACCCTGGTGATGCAATACGGTTCCACAAACAGCCCAGGGGGGCTCTCAGGCCGCCCTTGCAGCAGGACCTCTGAGGCACCGCGGGAGGGCCGGGCTCCCAGCTGCAGGGCCAGGCCAGGCACCTCCCAGGGATCTCGGGGCTGCCAGGTTCCCACAGCCTCCTGTCACCACCGCTGCCTCAGTCTCCCCGGCCCCCTGCACCCCCCCGCCCATCTGTGTGCTGCGTGTCACCCCGGTGTCCACCTGTGGAGAAACCAGGGCCTCACCTGAGAGCAGGAGAGGCCACATTCCGAGATCCGGGGGATGGCCAGGCCCCGGTACGTGCCCCAGGCCAGGCAGAGGAAGGCGAGTGCCGGCCCCGCGCGCATCTGGCTGAGAGCGGGATGGAAGCGTCCAGGCTGCCCTGCAGCGCCAGCCCCAAAGACAAACAGGAGCTGCTCCCTACAGCACACAGGCAGGGACACTCCGCCTCCTGGTGAGACAGGACCTACGGGAGCCGGCAGGGGGCAGCCCCCAGACCTGCCCACTCCCTGCCAGGGGCTGACACACTCCCCAGACCACATGGAGTTTCCAGGCTGCCAAAGGAAGCGTCCTGAGACCTCGAGGCCTTGGGGGTCCCAGGTAAGTGGGTTCCCCGTGGGGCTGGCTGGTGGAGCAGGGCTGGCTCCGGGCCTGTGGGGTCAAGGGGCCACTTGTGTGCACCCCTATCACTCAGGTGTGTGTCCTGACCACGGGGACAGTAGCCGATGGCCCTGCTGAGCTCGGCTGGGCAGAGGAGAGGAAGCGTCCTGGACACCTGCTGGCTTCACGCCAACCCTGAGGGAGTGCTCCCTCCTGGGACCTGAGACTCCCCCCACATCCCAGGCTCCCCGCCCCAGGGCAGTGCCCATGGGCTACTCTGGGCCTGGCTTCTGCTCAGGCATCCTCCCCGCTCCTTTTCTTACTTGAAGCTTCCTGTGCACAGGCAGGTTTCTGGGCAGAGGCCCACTGCACCTGTCTGCCTTCTGCCCCTGCCAGCCCTGTGCAAGGCAGTGGAAGAACAAAACCAGGGTGTGCTTCTGGGGTGCCCCAGGCTCCTCCCTCCCCGACAGCCCGGGGCCCGTGTCCAGCCCTCTTCCTGCAGCAGCTGAGCAGCACGGGGGCCCCCTGTACCTGCGTCTGGTCCTGGGAGGGCACTGTCCCACATGGGGGGCAGGGGAGGGCTGTCTGGCTGGGGAGCCAGGTCCCACAGGGTGTGCTGTGCCTGGGCGGGGCTGGGGTTCTGCCTGGAACCCCAATAAGGCATCTGAGTTTGGAGGGCAACAGCACCCCCAGGCTGGGGGAGGACACGGGCCTGGTCCAGCGGACTCAGGTCAGTCAGGAGAGAACTTGGGGAGAACTTGGCACTGAGGGGGCGCCAGCCCCAGGGGATGGAACACAGCAGGACTCACCAGCTGCCCACGACCGTGGACCCCGTCCTCCACCCACCTGGTGCCAGAGCCCACGGCCCAGCCTTTCTCCCACCTGGGCCAGCACCTCCACCCTGCCCCGCCTGGTCTGGAGCACTCAGTGGGCTGGGACTCCCATGGTCACTGCTGGGCACTGGGTACCCTGCCCGGTGCTGCCAGCGAGCAGCGTGCCTGTGGCCCCCAAGCACCCAAAGCATGCCGGACAGCATGTCAGCAGGCCAGCATGTTGGGGGGCCCAGGAAGGCCAGGCTCTGGTCACCCCATGGTCCCAGGCCTGCCAGGCTCTGAGACAGACCACCAGGGCACCTCAGCCTCGCTCCACCAGCCTCAACTTGAGGCCTCCAGCAGGTGCCACAGGTGCTTTCCTACAGCAGCGTGACAAGTGGGGACTGCTGAGCCATGGCAGAGGTCTCCGAAACGACTTCCGTGCCACTCACACTCTGAGCCCTTCTCTGTGGCCTTTCCAGGACAGGCCCACCCCCCAGGTGACACACCTGTCACCCTAAACAGGCTCTCCCAGGGCCACAATGAAGTGGCACAGGTGACCGCACAGGGGAGAGGGGCTGGTGCTGGGCTCAACTGCGCCTGCACCTGCCCCCGCCCCCTCTCCAGGGGCTCCTGCTCTGTTTCTGAGAGCTGGGGGATGTGGACCCTCCCAGTGTCCACGAAGACCTGGCCCTGGGGACTCCTTGGCACCCCTTGTCCTCTTCAGGCTCCAGAGACTGGGAGCACCCCAGCCTAGGCCCAAAGAGGCCTCAGGGACTCTTCCCACACAGCCCGCTGACCACCAGCAGGCCCAGGAGTCCAACTTCGATGGAAGCCAAGAAGCATGACCTGGGGGGCCCCTCCCCACCCACCACACAGCACCAGGTTGGAAGGAGACACTGGGGTGCAAAGAACCTGGACCAGCACTGCGAGGCTTTTGCTGAATAAATGAGTGAATAAGCAGCGAGCGTCCGGTCTGGGACCTCTGGCTGGGACACAGGAAGGGCACCTTCCCAGGAGCAGGGAGCGTCCTGGGTGCCAGCAGGTCTCGCTCTGTCCTGTCCTGCGGCAGGGCAGGGCTGGGGGCACAGGGCCTGTGCAGGCAGACAGGTGCAGGCACCGGGAGAGGGCGGCGCTCCGTAAGAAATACCAGGGTGAGATCGCGCAATTGCTCTAAAACAGCTCTGTATACAAGGTCCCTCGTCTACGTGCAGGTCTCCAAAGCAACCGGCAGCGCCTGCGGGCCGCGGGGCCCGGGCTCGCGTCGTCGGGGTCCCGTCCTCGTCCGCGCTGGTCCTCGTCACGGGCTCCACGGGCTGCCGGCCCGGCCGCCGAGCGGCACGAAGGAGGCGCCGCGCAGGACGGCGGCGCAGAAGGAGCTGCAGCGCTTGCACGGCCCGGCGGGCGGCGAGCCCCGGCACACCAGGCACGGCGGGCGGCCTTCGGCGGCCCTGCGGAGAGAGGGGGCTGAGCCCGCGGGCGCCCGACCGCCGCGCACCCCGCCGCCCCCGCCCGGACCGCCGCGCACCCCGCTGCCCCCGCCCGGACCACCGCGCACCCCGCCGCAGACCTCACCCACACCCCGGTCCCGACCACGTCCCACCCCGCCGTCCCCCGCCCGGACCGGCCTCCGTACCCCCCACCTCCCGCCCGGACCGGCCTCCGTACCCCGCCGCTCCCCGCTCGACCGCCGCGTACCCCGGACCGCCACCGCCCGGACCGGCCTCCGTACCCCCGACCCGGACAACCGCGTACCCCCCGTCGAAGACCTCGTCCCCACCCTCGCCCGGACCGGCCGCCGGGCCCCTGCACCCCGGACCACGCCCTCGGCCCCCCCCGCCGGCCCCGACACCACGCCCACCGTTAAGCCACGCCCTCTAGCCGCAAAGAACACGCCCACACGCCCAGACCGTGCCCGAGGGCTCTGTGGCCCCGCCCACCACCCTAGGCCACGCCCTCCGGTCCCCAAGACCACGCCCCGCAGACATACCCGCAGGGCCACCCTCGGCCCACGCGCGTCCGCACGGCCCGCCCGGCCTCCCCAGCTCCGGAGGACGCAGGCCGAGGGGCGGGGCGTCGGGCCTCGGGGTGCCCCTGGGGAGGGGTCTCGCTGGCGCTGCTCCCCCTCCCTGGGGACACAGGCGGGTCCTGCTGGAGAAGTTCTGGGCAGCGAAGCCCCCAGGAGGCCGCGGCGCCGTCACCACCCCGGGGGCAGGGCACAGCGGCAGCCGCCCAGGGCCCTGCGCAGCCTGGCCCTGCCGAGAAGGCCAAGGCAGGGGACGCTGCACTCGCAGGAACCCGCCCACCAGCCCCATCACACCTCCGCCCTCCCAGCAGCGTCGGAACCGCGTTTTCTCCCAGGCTTCCTGGGGTCCTAACCCCTCCCCCACACCGGGAAGCAGCCGGGCCCAGGGGCCCAGGGGCCCAGGGGCCAGGTGACTCGGGGAAGGGCGCCTCCACCCCAGCGCGCTGTGCACCTGAGCTCAGACCCCTGGTGCTGAGGACCTGTCCCTGCTGCACCAGGACCAAGAGGGGCGGTGGGCACAGGCCGGGTGCCAGAAAATGGGGCCAGGCGGGGCAGGAAGCAGACTGGAGTGCAGGGACTGGGCGCTCCAAGAGCCTCCGTGAGCCTGGCCCTGTGTGAGGGGACACCCCACCTGGCCACCCGGCACGCGGACGCCTTGGAGGTGGGCGCGGTCTGGGGGTGTTCCTGGTGGAGCTTTGAGACCGCAGCCCCCAGCCCGTGGTCAGAGGTCACCCAGGGCCCCGAGACTGCTGCAGCCCCAGATGCTGCTGGTCAGAGCGGGCCACAGGCCAGGCATCCATGTGGTCCAGCAGTGTCCTCTCCTCCGTGGGCTCTGAGGTGGCCACTGTGATGGGAGAGGGTGGGTGGGGGCTGTACAGTGCTAGCTGGCCACTGGCGGCCGCCCCCCACGTGTGGGAGATGCTGCTTGACAAGGACATTCACGTGGCTCCTCGGAGCATCCCAGGTGAGGCAAGGCCAGCAGGTGCCAGCGTGCGGCCCTTTCACAGCCTTCCCCCTGCCACTGTGCTTGGGTGTCTGGCCAGCCCTCCTCAGAGAGTGGGGTGAGCCTGTGCCCCCTGCGTGCTGGGGCGCATGAGTCAGCCCTCAGGCCGCCCAGGCTCGGAAGGATGGCGAGAGCAGGGACAGGAGGTTCCCAGGGCAGAGGAGGGAGTGGGGGGCTTCCCGGGCTCTCCCAGCCCCCAGGCAGGGCACTCTCCAGCCAGAGCCTGAAGGCAGGGTCACCCCCTGCAAACTCCCAGGCTGAGCCACTTCTCCAGGGTGGGGGGTCTGGGTGGGGTCTGGCTGGGGTGGGGTCCCCAGCACCTAAGCAAAGCAGTCCACAGCTTCCTGGAGCCTCGAGCAGGAACTGGGCCGCTACAGAGGAGGGGAGGGGGTGTCGGTGGCCGGGTCCTGCCCTGTGTCTGCTGGATGAACAGAGCTCCCGCCAGCTGTCCACACCAGCGGGACCCCACACCAGAGGGGCTAAGACCCTCTGAGGGAGCAGGTGGGGGGGCCTGGGGCTTGGCTTCAGCGCTGGATGGGGGGCAGACGTGGGCAGAGGCACTGAAGCTAGCCAGGGCAGGGCTGGGGTCCAGACCAGCCCTCCTGGGAAAACAACCAAATGGGGCATAAAATAGGACAGCATTTCTTTTTTTTTTTTTTTTTGAGACAGAGTCTCACTCTGTTGCCCGGGCTAGAGTGCCGTGGCGTCAGCCTAGCTCACAGCAATTCACAGCAACCTCAAACTCCTGACCTCGAGCAATCCTCCCGCCTCGGCCTCCCAGAGTGATAGGATTACAGGCATGAGCCACGCGCCCGGCCAAGGACAAGCATTTCTTGAAAGCAACAAAAAGCTGGCAAAATAGTCAGGAGCCATCCAGTCCAAGCCAGGGGAAGATGGGCCCCTGGGAGATGGAGCCCCAAAAGGACCAGCGCCCGGAAACCCCTCACTCTGAGGCTTTGCCAGCCAGGCCCACCTGCAGCTCGGGGCCCCAAGGCCTCATGGCCAGTGGGGACAGGAGACCGTCCCCAAGAGGAGTAGGAGGCCCCCCAGTAAAGCAGCAACTCCCAAGGGTACACACTCCGTGCAAGGGGGAACCAGAACACACCTTCCCCACCTGCCCCGCCCCGGGGGCGTTTGAGGAAATTGCCCACAGGCCTTGAGGGGCGGGGCGGGGCAGCGCCCAGGGCACTGGGCTGCGGGTTTAGGGTGGGGCCTGAGGCGTCCACCTGGGCCTGGCAGAGGGAAAGGCCACGCTCTGAAGGGAGGCAGCTGG